GTTATGATCATCATTCTCATTTATCATCATCTCCATCATCGTGGTCTTCGTCGTCATTATCAAACAATAATGAATGCTTTGTGAATTGTATGATACATTGTACCTTAAAACACTGCTATCTCCTCCTCCTCCTCTCCCTCTCTCTCTCTCTCTCTCTCTCTCTCTACATTCTATGTTATGTATCATCCTCTTCTTTTGTTGGTCTTTTTTGCTGTTGTTGTTCTTCTTGTTCTTGTTCTTGTTCTTCTTGTTCATGTTCTTGTTCTTGTTCTTGTTCTTGTTCTTGTTCTTGTTCTTCTTCTTCTTCCTCTTCTTGTGTTGACATCTGTCTCCTTCACTCCTGAAGATTCTAGCAGAAGTCTTTTTTTCCATGGAAATGTCTGTCCCCCTTTCCATGGAAACGCCTCTTACCACTTCACAATCATAACAATCGTCCATGAACAATGATATTGCAGGGTAAATAGAGCATGGTTGCTTTCCCAAACCGTGCATTATTGGATCAATTTTAAAACTGGACTGTTCTGACTGCCATAACAAAATACGGTTCGCAATTAAAAGACAATAAAGTTGAGCACTTGAACTGGTATTGCGATTAAATTGAAAATGAAACTGTCTGAACACAATTATGAAGGTTTGTTTATCTATTTCATAATGAATTTTGTACTGTGAAGTATAACAAATAATAATTTAACAAAATTGACACAATCTCGCTAAAAATCTCGAGCACCGCACACATAAATGTGTACATGGGACTATACACAGATGTTTGGTCCAAACCCTTCAGTTAGTTCTCATCATATCATTTCGAATATGAGGGCATTTAAAGAGCAATTCTTTACAGGGGATGATTATCCGCTATGATGTTCTTCCATCCTGATATACAAAGCAGGATATGCTCATAATTATTAAAACAAATCTTTACCAGAATTCAACCCTCTCTTCAATGCTCCCTGTTAACTGGAATGTTTCGGAAAGGGGCTTCTATGCCTATCGGTATGTCTTGGATAATTCCTTCCTATGTATCAACCCCGATGTTCGATGGTAGTTGTCCAGTAAGTAATATATTTCCATATGATCGTTTTTTCCGCTGCTTAATAGGGCTTGGTATTGTTGAATTTGTTTGGATTGTATTTGGTATTTTTCCGCCCGGGGATGAACGCCCTAGACTCGCTTTCGGAGAAAGGTCTGGAAAGAAAATGAATTTCATAAAGAGGTTGAGCTCAGATCATGTCACTCTGCTCAAACAAAGAGTGGAGAATATGAACGGGCTTCTACGAGCAGAACATAACATAATACCACTCCCGGAAGATATCGTAATTATGAGAGAGTAGAAGGAAGGACATCGAAACTTGAATGTCTTTTAAATGTGGACGTGAAGGAAGAGAGAGAGAGAGAGAGAGAGAGAGAGAAAGAGGGAAGACAAAGAAAGAGGGAAGATAAAGAAAGAGGGAAGACAAAGAAAGAGGGGGAATTGAAGAAGAAGGACAAGGAAGAGAGAGAGAGAGCAAGAGAGAGAGAGAGAGAGAGAGATAGAGAGAGAGAGAGAGAGGTGGGGGAAGATAGAAGGGGGTGACATGGGGCACGTGCCCACCCCGCCCCCGCCCCCGCCCCCGCCCCCGCCCCGCTCCATCGACTGACGAAGGGAGACTAATGTGAATGAGAGGACTGTGAGAAAGACAACAATGAAAAGAAGATAATACTACCCACTTCTCGAATACCTATACACCACTATCTCTATTTGCATTATTGGCATTATAATTATGACCCATGCTACGCCATTGCAACTAACCATTCATCGTCCATCTACATTACAATGATCAAGACAGTGTTAGAATCGATCAAAGATGGGTCATTAAAACCATCTGTGAAATATATATAAAGGAATGTGTAAGTATGAAAAGTGAAAAACATATTCCGTGGATGCTTAGAGCGTGCGCTATTATAGTTAATGATGTCCTAAAACTATAACGATTTTAGAAGTAGTATGTTTATATAAACGGTAATTAACTGTAACCGAAAGTGAACTCGGGCACTGTTTCAGTCATCTGATTTCCGCTGTTTCTTCCCTATAATCATCAAATACATAGCAATTAAATAAATGTGTCGACTAGTATGTTTATAACGGTAGTTAACTGTACCGAAAGTAAACCCGAGTACTTTCTTAGTCACCTGATTTCCGCCATTGCTTCCCTTTATCATCGAACATAAAGCATTTATATAAATTGGCCGCCTGAGCGTCCTGAATCTGATACATTTCATCCTCTCAAAGATGATAACGTCATGTATTTGCTATTATGTCTTGAATTCATTGCATTATCGAGAAGTTACAGTGGGGTTTTTTCGCGTGAGAAAGTGTTATTTCTGGAAATGAAAAGTCATTTTCTGCACTGAATCCAAGTATACAAAGTCAACAAAAAATGGAACTCATATCATCGTTATTTCCTTCATCTCCGTTTCATCAGAGTGACCACAACGATTTGCCTGTAATTATCGAAAGTATTCTAATTGGTGTTTACAAAGTAAAGGGGCTCATTAATATTGCACGCGTGTTATATAATAAAAACATATTACGTAATATCTATTGTTAGGGATTTATGTTCTTGTTATAATAATGTTTAATTTTTAATTCATTTTTGGATGTGTAACGTAAATATAAAGGCCTGTTCTAAAAATTCAAATTGAATTTTATCCTACATGAAGATGCATATCGTTTTTTTTTATTGAACTAATGTAATATTTGAAGTTCCGAATTTCCTTTATGCTAAAGAATATGGAAAAGTTAATTTTCTTAAGCCTATCTGTCTTTACCGTCCTTATACTGCGACGTAAAGCAATGAAAATTGCACATATTTTGGGCATTTTGGTCTAGCTGTGAAGGTCACCGAATCATTGCTCTTTTGAACTTAAACACGCCTTGAATACTATCAATCAATCAATCAATCAACGAACCGCTTCAATACAATAGACCGGTTTGCTAATAATATTCGAATTTATGGATTTTTCTTTCCTGGCCGGGACCTAGTGACGAAGTGTAACATTTACCTCTGTGTTATTAATGAATACATGTCAATACTTGGAATCCAGTATGCATACATTATTTGTTGCTCTATCGGGCAAGCCTCGGCATGCATATAGGTTGTCAGGAAAAACCTTTGTTTAAAAAGTATGCATACAATTTGAATATGTTATTAAACCGGTCTATTCAATTCAAGGTCACCCACTCACTTACTCAATCAACCAATCAGTCAATGAATGAACTATATAACCAATCAATTACTCAAACAATCAATTTTACAATCAATAAACTAGTCCATCAATCAAGCAATACTCACTCACTCACTCACTCAATCAGTCGATCGATTAATCACTCACTTAATCAATCATGAATCAAATCAATCACTTAATCAACCAATCAGTCAATGAATAATCTTACCAATTAATTTTTGCAATCAATAAACTAGCCAATAAAATTCCATCGACCTACATGATAAATCAACCAACTACTGCCCACAAGACCGACGGCTCATAAGACCGACCGCCCACAAGACCGACCCCCACATAACACACATGTTGGAGGTTCATCAGACTGACCTTGTTGGTCTTGTGGGCTATCGGTCTACTTGGATGTTCGGCAACTGACCGATTCCCAATCGATCTTTAAATCATTCAGCCAGTCTATCACTCACTCACTCACTTATTCATTCACTCAATCAGTCGCATAATCTATCAGTCAATTTATCACTCATTCATAAACTCACTCACTCACTCAATCAATCAATCACTCAATCAGTAAATTAATCCCTCATTCATTCGCTCAATCACCGAGTCAATCAACCATTCACTCAATTAATCAGTCATTCAGTCATTCACTCATATCCATCACATTCCGGCCACAGCTTTGACAAAGAAAATTGCTGGGTGATGTTTAAAAAAAAAATTAGTACAAAGCAAACATAGAGTGGCTGTAAAATCAAACATTTTTAGATTTTTCTAAAACTTCTAAAAACCGATTTGTCTAATGTTTTGACATTCATTGAAGTTAGTAAGATTCAATTCTAATACATAATATTTTTATTTTTATTGGTTAAGATAGGATTGGCACATATGTCGTTCGACAATGTTAAGGACAGAAACTGAAAAAGATGCGAAAACAAACAAAACGAAAAAAAAAGTGAATAAATGAATCGGGCATTTCTGACAAGTTCAATGCCATTTCTCCTGCGTACTTTGCCAGACGGAAGTAAACATAGAAAACAAAACACAATATATAAAAGTTTCCATGAAAACATAAATCCTTATTTTGACATTTGCCTTAAAAATACTTTTGCAACATACATCTTCTAATCAATAGGTCAACTTTTAACAATCTTAAACTCTTTAGTACACAACTAGAGAAATTGTAAGAAATAGAAATTAATATGAAAAGTGGCATTTCCTCTCAGGATTCTTGGTAAAATATCAAACTAGTTTGAATAATCGGCTATGATCTGAAATGCATTGTAGAAAATGAAGGAAAAATATTCCATTACTAGGCTGTTTATCTCCTACTGTAAATTAATCTTTAAGTCCACAACAATGAATTTGTGTACATCAGTTATACATTTATAACAGCTACCAAAAAGTCACATTCACATGTAGGTTAATTTTCATATGTTAGAAAGGTTCAATCGTTTAAATTGATCTACATGATCTAGGAATATCGTTTCTAAAACAGTCACAAAAACTCCATTACACATGGTTCAAGATAATTATGACTGATTCTACTGGATGTTATAAACACTTTATAAAGTCATAGAAACACAAGGCCTGTAATAGAAGCTTTTGAAGGGGGGGGGGGGGGGCGAGGAGGGGTCATTTTTCAATAATATATGTTACTCTTTTTACCGGAAAAAGAAAGGTCCGATCCCATCCTCCCCCCCCCCCCCGTCTTCCTAGCGGCCTCAAGACAGTGGTATCATATACTGCAAGTAAGGATTCATGATAGTCATCATCCGTTGTTTTCAGTAGAATATATAGAGTCTATCAGGAGTGCAGAAAGCGATCTCTCCTGATTTGTACTGCTGGAGATAGTACCACGCTTCCTCGGGCTTCTCAATCTTGTAATCACCGACGAGGTTTTGGACATGCTTCAGCTCGTTAGAGTACTCATCAATACTGACGAAACCTTCATCGTGCTTCACGGTGGCTGTCAGGATTGTATTCCCTTGAGACACAACAGCACGTACAAAATCACCTGATTTCGCTAATTCATATTTTACATCACCTTGCTTGTCAATCAATCGTATTGTATTACCAGATGCGATGATCAGGTAATCATTATAACTAGTAATTTGCACAGGAACATACCCATCGCATGGTATCTCCCAGATTGCCTTTCCCCCTGCTGGTGAGAACACCTGGATCTTCTGGGCATTCCAGTAGCTAACATAGATCTGATCATCATCGTCTACAGTGAGGTTAGCAATTCCACCTTCAACGCTACTTAGAGTCTCAAACCTAACTTTCAACTTTGTGTACTCTAGTGTGTATAGTGTGATATTGTTTGATGCATCAAGTATTACATACCGATCATCAGAGAGGAACCCTACTCCAAGAATCTCCACATGTTTGAACACTGTCTGCTTGATCTGGCCATCAGCAGAGAAGATCTCCACGCCACCTGTTCTACATCCCACTGCCATCCTACCGTCTGGTGTACTAACCATGGCATTCATGCTATCCTTAGAAGGCAAAGCGATACTCTTTGCAACTCCATTTACGATCTTACCGAGAGTTAGCTCCTCCATTCCACCGTTTCTCTTGAAAATGATACTTTCCCCTTTCTTGCTCGACTGCATCGGCTGCTTGTAGTCAGGATCTTCTTGTTTCAAGGCCTCTTGTAAGTCTTGACGTAGAGTGTCGTGTGCAGCCAAAGCATCCATATCTAACGGTATCTTTGTCCTATTGGTTACCACGTCGGCTATGTTGGTCAAGTGAGTGATGTGCTCCTGAGCCGATTTCTTCAGTTCGTCCAGTTCTTTCTCTACTCCTTCGGTCTTACCCTTGACTTCGCCAATAAGGATTTCTTTCTTCTTTGTTAACTGCTTGACTGATTCTTCATATGCTTTGTTGATATCATCTGTACACTGCTTCTGAACATTGCTCACACGCTCCCTCTGTTCATCAATGAAATCAACATATTTCTGAAAACAAGAGCGTTTTTTTTCCGCCGTGGATTTGAGGACCTCGATACTCTTCATATGGCTGCTCTCATAAACAGCTGCCTCGATGATCCGATGTCCTTCGTCTTTATGCTCCATGACAACACACCTGAAGCAGGCAAATCTCCTGCAGTCGGAACAGAAGCACTCCTCATCCTCTTTTGGGTGTTTCCTGCACTTACGGTATCCACGTACTGACACCTTCCATGATTCGATCTCACTTATGGCTATGACATCATGACTGATGAAGTCTCGCCACAGAGAGTGTGTGTTGTGGCAAGTGATACAGAGATACTTGCCACAGTCTTGACAGTAGACAACAGCTTGCGTCTTGTCCTCGGATTTACAAATCGAGCAAAATTGATAGTGATTCTTCACGTCCTCTATGAGAGACCTCAAAGCTAGATTTGCCGGTAATTTGCTGACATCTTGGTTTGAGACCTGGGTTTCAGCTCTGCAGACAGGGCATCGGAGCATCTGGTCGTTACCATGGCATTCCAAGAGGTTGTCTAGACAGGCCTTGCAGTAGGTGTGAGAACAAGACAGGATCTTGGGATCGGTGAAGGTATTCAAACATACAGGACACTCCAGACTCTGAGCAATGACATTCTTTAATGAATCAGCCATGATTCGAATTCTACAGGAATATGAGATAAAAGAAAAAGACAAAACATAATGATAAGTGTAGCTTTGATTCATGTAACGGTATTAAGAGGAGTGTTTTATCGTTTTCCTCACGTCTTTTCCCTGCATAATATAACGCGTACAAAATATGATATTCCGTTTTATGTTGATAACAAATTATTCATGTTATTCATCAACTGAATGAAGTAATACAAAATGAATTTAGAAAAAAAAAACTCTTTCCATTGTCGCTCTTCAGTCAATGTGCATTTTAATGGGGAAAATCAAGATCTGTGTCACATATGTTAGATGAGTAAGGAAGACCACTACGTTGGAAAGACGCAAAAAGTGATCGCCAATAAAAAACTCGATCTCGGAGATGGCGCTAAACATGATAAACAGATCCGGAAAGGGGAATGATAAAAAAGTTATTCGATCTTAGATCTTTACATTTATTGGACTATTCATCATCTGGTTGAGAGAGCTCAGAATTCGTTCGATGTATTATAGTTTTAGGTTGTTTATTTTTATGGGCTGTTTTGCGGCCATAGTCTCATAGGCCTACAAGACAAATGGGATCGAAAGTGCTGCGCCCATACCCCCTCCCCCCAAAATTTTAAAGGTGCAAATAATGTATTCGGGCAAGAGCAATCGACACCTGATTCTGGTAATTGTGTAGTATTCAACAACCTACAGTCCTATTCAATTGTTCATACTTGTTTGTATTAGTTTCATGTCAACAAAAATAAATACTGAAGTGACAAGAAATGTTAACACATAATGACCAGAGCCATATGAAGAGAGTGTTAATTTGTACTTAATAAAGAAGGTGTAAATCATTAAAGTATAGCCTTGTGTCGGATACCCCCTTTAAAACAATACATTGCAGAGAAGAATAGACGAAGAAAGGGAAAATGAAATAAAAGGAAAATAAATTTAGAATATGGAAGTTGGAAACGGTTACATAATAGCTAGCCGATAACTGAGCTGTACAAAAGTTACTATAAATATTATACAAACAATGAATGGTTATGAGTTTAATAGTGCGAATATTTTCAACGAATGAAAATATTTGAACTATTGAATAAATGAAAAACATTCATTATTTGTTGTATACAACATCGAAGAAGATCTAATAGAACGTTAATCAACAAATTATGCTTTAAATACTCCTTATATTAAAGATAAATTAAAGTTGGAGTCAAGCCTTCTCGATTACATGCATTCAGATTGCCTTCGCGTCAGATACACGCAGGGATACGCGCACGGCAGAGAGGTACGCAGTCTGCATATAACCAAAAATGCACGCCCGTGCACACAGCAGTGGCGGATCCAGGGGGGGGCCGGAGGGCCCGGGCCCCCCCTTGAGAAAATATTCATGTAAAATCACGTGATTTTTACCTTTTTTGGGGGTTGGGCCCCCCCCCCCTCGCTCAAGGGGGGGGGGGGGGGGTGCAAATTGAATTTTTTTTGAGGATCAAAAAAAAAATGTGCTCACAACCCCCCCCCCCCCCCCCCCCCCCCCCACTGAGCGAACTTTTTGGCCGGCGCGTTTTTTCAAATTTTCGGGAGCAAAAAAAAAAAAAAAAAAAATTGTGCTCTGTACCCCCCCCCCCCCCCCCCCCCCCCCCCCCCACTGAGCGACTTTTCGGCCGGCGCGATTTTCAAATTTTCGGGAGCAAAAAAAAAAAAAAAGTTGGGCCCCCTCCCCTAAGAAATCCTGGATCCGCGCCTGCCTCACAGTAACGAGGACATTGCTTAGCCACTGAATCATGACTTTACGCAGCGGGGCGAGGGTACGTCGTCACCCCCACAAATACAAAAAAAGAAGAAAATGCTAACAAATTATCAATAATCATTGCATTTTCCCCCGGTCCCTAACAGGAAAAATTCCTCTGTAGGGCCATGCATTATGGTTCAAGGTGATTTTCTTCCCTTATCTCGTTCAACCTTTTTTTGAAGTCATTCTCCGAAACTGCACCACATCTATACAACTCCTCTAATCTATCTCTCAAGCTCTCCTTTTTCTCCTTCTCTGACTTCAGCTTGTCCTCGGGGGTAATTTTCCGGGGAGTGATTGTCTTGGAGGTAATTGTCCTGATACGCACCTTAAGTACCCCACCACATTTCAACATTCAAAACAACTTTAGCTTACCTTTACTATCCGAACCACAGATGAAAAGGTCCTACACCGGTATTAAAGTGTTCATGAGTTTGTTTAATGTTTTCCCAAAACTGAGACCCAGGGATAGTGCCGTAACAAGATGAAAAGAACTCGTGGTTAACATGGATCATATCGTCCGACCTTATCCGGTATAGAAGTTCACAAGCTCAACTAGGCGGGTTTAACTGGTATGATATCAAAAAATCGGTCCTCCTTGCATGCTCGAAACGTAATCTTTATCAATGTGAGCATTTAAGACCTAGTAAACAATGGAGGGATGAAGGTGGTGGAAGTAAGGTTCATAGTCTGAAGTCTGAGTGTCCGAATCTCTGATGATACCAAACTACTTAATGGTTTTTTGTTGATTGGTAAGTCAACAACGGCGGATCAAGCAATTGTAGCTTTTGAATTTTAACGAGTTTGTGCGAGTACTTGAACTCTTAATGTAAATATTATGTACAAGTCAACTTTTATTCCACTTAACATATTAAAAAAGCCTATGTAATTAACAAATCGTCTGATTTGTTGTGTACGTGTGTACTACATGGGGGTGACAATATTATAACATGACATTTTGCTAGCCTGAAGCAAAGTTCAATAAACTAACAAAACCACATAGAGTCAGATGATACACTGTCTTGATCTTTGTTCATGCCATCTTTTTGAGAGGCAGAAGGGCATTACTTCGATGTAAAATGATATGAGTTAACGACCTTCTGGCTTCAACAGAAGATTGATTGCATTTTGTTTTTTGTTTTTATTTCACATTGCCAGTTTGACATAGAAAGTACGTCAGAAACGAGAGTTCGAAGATGTCGTGTCTTATCTTGCGCTTCAATGAGAAACAAAAAATCAGCAAAACATTATTCTGAATGCCTAACTGTTCAACCAAGGAAAGGATCGAGATACCCGTTTGTGAGGAAGACATCTGATGTGTCAAATCTCAAATTACATTCTTATTAGTAAAAAAACATTCCAACTATTACACCAGTCATGAACTTTGCACGACCGTTTATAATCTTATAAACATTATTGAAACAGAGGCAAGTGTAAAGATTGGACGTAGGTTTTACCAATAGAGTAGGCCAACCATTTTAACCAAAATATGCAATTCATGAAATTGTTTCGGTATATTTCTTACACAATACCATGTACAAAGATCATTAATATTAATAGATAATCACAACGGTGATCGTGTAGCATATGACTGTCGAGTGAGTTTGCAGTTAGCTATTTATTGGTTCATAATTATCGGCAGAAAAACGTACATTATTAAGAATTTTGGAGGTCAACCGGCAGCGTGCATGTGGTACAAAATGCAAATAAATTATTTTCATTAAACGGTTTAATATTAACTTTAAGTATTACGATGTTTTAATTATTGACATAAATTATGTGAGCGATAACCTGCACAGGAATATTGATAGTGGTAAATTAACAGGGATGGTATTCTTTAGATATACGAAAGTCCTTAAATTTGATTACGTTGACCATATAGCAAAATGCTCGAGAAGTTATACACATATGGTGTACGTGGTAACACACTATCGTGGTTTGGATCGTACTTAAAAGGTCGTTAACAGTGCGTACACACTGTCACTGGTGCAAAGTGCAAAATCTGATTTACAGGTTCTCCAGTCAGGAGTACCTCAAGGTTCTATACTCGGACCTATAGCAGCGTAATGCTGCTATAGGTCCGAGTAAAAAAAAAAAAAAAAAAAAAAAAAAAAAAAAGTAATGTACATGCTGCTATACGGAGACCAGTTTCCCTGGTTAAACCTTGGATCCTGCGTCACTAAAGACGGGGAGACGGCACTGGCCTAGGTCGTACCTATCGAGATCGAGCGCAAGGATCCATAGTTCTACCTAGGATATTATGTGGATCAGGTGCATGCTACTTCGATGTTCGGCAACTGACCGATTCTCAATCGATCTTTAAATCATTCAGTCAGTCCATCAATCAAGCATTCACTCACTCAATCAATCGATTAATCACTTACTTAATCAATCAGTAATTCAACCAATCACTCAATTACTCACTCACTCACCCATTCACTCGTTCATTCACTCAATATATCACTCAATCAATCACTCACTCAATTAGTCAATCGATTATTTAATCAATCGATTATTCACTCGATCAATCAGTCGATCGATTAATCACTCACTTAATCAATCTGTAAATCAATCAATCAATTAATCACTAACTCACTCATTCACTCATTCATTTACTTTATCAATAAATCAACCACTTAAAGATAAACTCCAGTACTGGTAAAAAAATAAAAATAATTCTCACAGAATCAAACGAAACTCACACTGAATGTTCAAGATTACAAATAAATGACATGTGCCAAACAATTTTGGAAGAAAATGTATACTGGCTGAGTAATGAGCATAGAAAGACAAGGAAATCAAGGTAGTACTAGCCCCGACACCATGTGTGTTGTCCCATATATAGCTTTCTATGTGAGTGCTTGTTACTTTACCAAGACTCGGTCAAATTTATTATGATTTTGATGACTCCAGAACCTTGCAGTGCACACCAATACTTACATGCTACATGATCAACTGTTTCTGATCCTTTCCACACCTTTTCTTTCACAATGCAATCGCATTACCAGTACTAAAGTTTATCTTTAACCAGTCAATCAAACAGTCAAGCAATAAATCATCGGGTCAATCAGTCAATCAATCATAACTTCAATCAGATCAAATTTCCAGAAAACAATAAAATAATCTAGTACGGAGTACACGTGCCCCCCCCACCCCCCCCCCCCCCAATCAAATGTGATAACTTACTTTTTAGGGGATGAACGTCAGATAATTTGATTTGTGC